AAAAAAAAAAAAAAAATCAATACAGGCAAATGCATTTTAAAATTCGAGAAAAACCTTAAGGTGATCGATGAATTTGTTTTCTCAAATGAAAATGCCGTTTCTCATTTGATTTTCGTGGCTCAGATTAAAACAGCATATATTGATAGGAATTAAGCACTGTGATTCCGTAACATGATGTGAGATTAAAACAAGCAAGATGAATTGAAAATTTGATCGATAAACACACTTATTACGACAAATAAATTTGTTTCTGGGTCACATGACAATGTCATTTCCCATTTTCGTGGTTCAAAACGGTGTATATATATATACATTGATAGCTAGGAAGTAGTACTGTAACTCTGAGATTGAATTGAAACTTAATTGACTACACATGCAATTCACAGATAGATACTAGCATGAGAACATACATATAACCAGCTTACCTTAGATATATATGGAGATCAGAATGAGATATTAGTTCTAGCTTCAAGGAAAGAAGAATGAATCTAGCATGAAAACAAGAGTCATTCAGACTAGCCAAGGTGATTGCCTATAGAACCACATACAGATTTCTTTTACATAAGAGTAATAGAAACCTCTTGGAGGATGTAGGCAAGTCATCCTTGGCTATCAGACAAAGACTCTTATCTTCATGTAAGATCCTTCTTCCTCATATCATATAACATTTGTTATTTCATTCTTGAATGCTATTACATTGGTTGGATAGCTCTATTTATATAGCAGAAAATGCAGAAGGCCTGATTCAGATTTATCTGCAATTTTACATGCCTCATCCATATTAGCTTTTTCATGGAACTTCCATTCTGACTTTCAATCCGTTATATGTGCCCAATTGCCCATAACACAGAATATATTCTTTATGTTTTTTGCAGATGTTATCATACATGTTGTGCTCTTGATGTGTCGAAAGGGTGCGATGATGAAGATAAATAGATGATACCTCATACTATATACTTATTGGCAACTTGTAATAATGATCAAATTTATGTGTGGATCCCTAATTGCGACGCCATTTAATTTCCTTTTCATATTTTGTAGAGGTCAATTTTTTGACTCTGGTATGTACAAGTGTGCATGCAGTCTAAAATGATAATTCCATGCCAAAAAGGCAAAAATATAGCTATTTTCAGCTCTTTTCATATCCTCATATCTCAGTTCCCTACACTGATTAAGTCAATGCTATCTCCATAAAAAAGGAAATTCTGGGTTCCCTCCAAAAGGGCCAAATTGACTTATGGAAGGTCAAAAAATAAACATTCCAATCTTCTTCTTCACTACTGAAACGTAACATGATGATGATGAACTAATCTTTGAAGGCATATATACCCCCATATCCTTTGCCTCGTCATAAGGATAATAGATTCTTTTATCTACATGAATAAATGAGCGTGTCCATAGTATGGCCGTATGGGTTCTTGATTGTATGTGCATGTGGTCCCAATCAAAACTTGTCACGTGTTATTTTAATTATATTATTATTTAATCGACAAAATATATAAGAGCATTCCCAATAGCAAAATGGTTTTAGAAGTGCCATATAGGAAAGAGAATGAAGGTTTTAGTGTTATTTTAGGTTAAAAGTACGTATATTTTATTTTTATAGTTGCCAAAGTCCCAAAAGTTAGTTGCAGAGGAGAGATAAAATAATACAAATTGTGGCAATCATTTAATGTAAAATAATTTTT